GGAGAACAGAAACAAATGGGAGCAGACCACCCGAGCTACAGGTATTCAGATTTATTGTTAACAGGGGTATTAGCCAAACGCTAGAGGTAACAAAACTACTGGCTTCAATTCTCGGGCGTCGCCCAACTGCGGAACGAGAATCACGGATTATGGAAGAACAGCTTGGCTCCTGCCCAAGAGGTGACTGTATGGACCAGATGTTCACTCTGGGGCAGGTGCTAGAGCAGCGCCACATGTGCCACTGGCCAACAACAGTTCTATTCAGTCGATCGATGCATTCTGTTCGGAATACTTGAACAGAAAGGTGTTCCCATATTACGTGCTCTAGACTCGAACATCACAGGCCGCGTCAGGGTATAGCGTGATTTATCCAATGCCTTTCCGACAACAATTGGTGTACGTCAGGGTTGTACAGGTTACCCATTCTCCTTCAATGTCGTCGTGGATTCGACCATGGAGTGCTACCTTGTGGAGTCTCAAGAGGCAGATTTTTAGATCCTGCCTGGTGAAAGGCGAGTTGATATTGTTTGTGTGGACGATTTTGTCTTGTTGTTAACGATGTCGGGGCGGCGTAAGCAACATTAAAAAACCTCTCATGAGCGGTCCCATTATCTGGCATGCCCTTCGCATCTTCAAAGTGCAAAGTGTTGCTGTAGGATCACCAGCCACTGGATGACCTCTTGATCCTCGATGGGTACTCGATGTAGTTGAGCACTTCACATATCTTGGCAGGTGTATCAGTAATAATGGGGCCATAGCAACTGAAGTCAGTTCACGCAGTGCAAAAGCTAAAACTGTATTTTTGAACCTGCGACACCTGTGGCGACGAGGTGTTTCTCTCGGTCTGAAAGGCAGTGTTTACTAGGCCACTGGGAGGCCGTCCTAATCTATAGGAGTAAGACTTTGACCTTCGATCTGAAGCGGCCTCAAGTCTTTGATTATCGTTGTCTACGACGCATTGCTGGTGTCGGATGGCACCAGCGTGTCTGCAACGATGATGTGCGTAGGCAAGTACTAGATAGTGATAATCATGCTAGCCCCCTAGAACAACAGATAACACTGAATAAGTTGCGTTGGCTCGGGCACGCGCTACGTATGCCTGGTCACCGCTTACCGAGGGGAGCGTTGTTTTGTTTGCCAGATGTAGGGTGGTGCAAGGCCCGAAATGGGCAAAAATGAACTTGGCAGCGAGAAATTAGGTCAATGACGACGAAGCTAGGTGCCGTACCGCATTCCAAGCTGAAGTCCACGTGACCCAGCTTGTGCCCAGCTTGAAACGTTACAGGACATGGATGGCAGTCGACACCAGTGCCGTTTCTGCTATCCTCTCCTAGTCGGACTGCCTGTTGAAAATGTTTGGAGATGAGTTAACTGGGGATAATGGCTTATTATGACGTAGGGCAGTGAAAGCTGCAAGGAAACTATCTAGCCGATGCCACGTTATCTATGCACGATAGCCACCTGTTTATTACGGTATGCTGTTGACAAAGTGTAGGCAACTTGATCCTGAGTGTCTGTGCAGTGTAGTAAGGTTTTAAGCCAGGCCCCCTTTCTCTCCTCATTATTGTTCTTCGTTCCGTATGTCACTGCGGTTGTACGGAAAGTGTCACTCAGCGTAGATCGATGGGTCACGGAGGTACGCGAACTACCCCACTACGTTAAGGTCTGGTCTCGTCGCGATGATTTACAACAATCTATACTCCAAATTGGAGTTACAGTTCGGCCACTGCTATCTGAAGCGTGCAAATAATCATGAAACCGATCCTGAGGCGTGGTGATGTGAATGAACAGCATCTCTATTTATCTGTTCCAGATACGGTTACAACAGCTGCAATGGTCGAAATTCACTTTGACGTTAATCGGACCCCAAATGGAGATTGCGCATCGCAATCCACTCACACAGCCAGCTAGCCCAAAGCAAGCAAATTCGATTATCAGTGTGGGTAAAGAAACCATACGTGTTTTAATTAATAGTCAACGTGAAAACACAAACAAGAAAGAAAAAAGGTAAAAAAAAATGGAGTTACGCGGACAGACGGTTATCGCCTTTTACTCAATGTGATACAGTAGTTTAATCCGAGGCACCCCGTCTCTAGCATTCGACAGTCTGATCCACTAGGTAGTGGCTTAAAAGAAAGTTTAATCGAAAAACTTCACCTAAAGCTTCTGACTCAATTGTCTAACTCAGAAGGCAGTAGCGAGCGCATTCTGAATTGGTGCATGACCGCAGAGGCTCGCGTGGACGCGACTGAAGACATTCACGTTCAAGCTAAGAAAATGCAAGCCGCTTTGCTTATTTTCTGACCGCAGCCAAGTACACTTGCGGTCACGGTCAACATTTGCGAGCTTACACTACACTGGTCAGTGACCGCGTGGGTCGAGGCGTACGATACCATGAAGCTGCGCAATGCCGCCGTCAGAGAAAAAACGGTATTGGTGCCCTAGGCCAGTCAATCGAAGTTGAAGAGCAGAAATTGCTGTCACTCATGGCTGTTTTACAAGCAAAAGGTTGATCAGCTTCCCATCAAATCGCACTGGCTAGAAGAGTGGGGCCGAGGTTGTTTGATATGCAACTGATGACTTATATGGTATTGTTTGGCTTCGAAGACACTTGGAAATTGCCCGTCAACAGAGCATAATGGGCCGTTGTGGTATGTAAACCAACGCATTAAGTTATGCTCCAGTCTTGTTGCCAGCACTCATGGCGTTAAAAGCAGGATAAATTGGAATAAGTACCATAATGAAATTAGCATGTGTAGTTATCTCAACAAAGACAATCTGATGATGGCAAATCGAAGCTATAACAGTGGTAATTGATGGAAATCCTAACCTTTAGCACGCTTGCCATACAGACGATAGGCACGAAGAGTCGAGGAAATAAGGGGGAAATCAGCTCAAGTAATAGTGCACAGTCGTTGAAAAGGTCCGCATAGAGTCTAGAATAGACAAGTTTTGATGTTTGGAGCACACAGGAGTAAATTGGAATATCTTACCTCCATCGCTTGCAGTCGCTATCAAGGTTGGCGCTAAGCATAAGAGTCGTCAAATATTTTTATGAAGTGACTAAAACCTACCCCTGCCATGCAGCAAACGCTATTTTGCCAATCATACCAAATCCGTCTGAAAAACATTAAAGGGATGGTGGTATGTGTTAAGAAAAGCGATAGACAACAACTGACAATGTAAACAGTTGAGGCTGACATTCGAAATCAAGTCATCGAAAGCGCATAGCTTACAATGATACGACAGGTGCAAGTCCGTAGAACTGAGTTATTTCCATGACCTAGAGGGCAGCATTACGTCCATTAGGGAGACCAATGTTAAAGATAGTTGCGTAGATTGAGGCAAGAGACGCGCTCTGGTTATGCAAAGCAGGAAGTCATAACACTGTTCACAACGTTCGGACTTAGATGATTGTGTTAGTATTTGAGTTCGAAGAGAATATAACAGTTGCTCGTAATAGCGAATCAGCTTCGCTCCCATGTAAAGACGAATGCTTTTCCGATCGAGCGTAAAGGGCACACGTTAACCTTAGTTTGAACTAGATATTGTGAGCCCTTGAATGGAGTTAAATGGAATTTCGTTGTACGACATTCCACTATCGTCTAGGAAGTCTGAAAACACATCTGTACTCCGAAGTATTTGCTAATAAGCCAATAATTATTAAGACACTCGATTGGTGGCAAAGCGTTGTTGTCCAACTTGCTGAGCAAATCAGCGCCTCAACAGAAGTGATAATTCACGATCACACGGTGAAAAGTAGAGTACATTTGAGAGACTACACTGGCTGGCTCCGGTGATAAAACACTAACTCGTAGGAAAGTGAGTCCGATAACAAACACTACAGACTGCTGGAAAACGATGATCCAAAAGGTTCATTAATCTTTAGAATTATTTCAGACAGTCAAGAAGCGCGATATAGATTATGCAATGTGTCACTGGCGGCCAGGTGACCCACGCGTATTCTGTTGGCAAGGAACACACATATAGCGCCCAGCAAGTTTCTCTATCCGCTATCTGGTGAATATTTGTTTCACGCGAAAAAGCCCAGTGGTCAGTGACCTCAAAGTTCGTCGAATCGAATAAGATCCGCGCAGTACGAGGACCAACTGACCATGTGTATTCCCCCACATCCCCAAAAGTATGTGGTATGGGGAGCCTCCGGAAACGAATGCAATGTTTGCTGCGTTTGACTGTGAAGAGCATTTTAGAAAAATCGCCTACCATTTCGAAATTCATCGACCACAGATTCAGCGGGGATCAGTAGGTGGGAGGGACTGGCCCTGGAAGACATCGATTACAGTATGGCAGGTAAATCCGTAAGCTCTTTCCGGCATAAAATGGAAACCAATGCGATTGATTTTGGCGCAACAGACTTATCCACTGAAAACAGTGTACCTAGCGGTAGGAGGATTTCGCTCAATTTGAGCCGGTATACGGTTAAACTGGCTCGATGCATCTTGATTTCTGTCCGCTTTTGTATGCAGAATATAAGCAGCTTTAATAGCGCAGCTCATGAATATAAAGAAACCGATCGGTTTGGTGTGTCTATACAGATTGGCAAATTGCAGATAGCCAGTGCCTAATCTGCGAGGGATGCAGCCACTTGAACAGAGCCACAAAGGAGATGGGTAAAAGAGCATGAAAAAGCTGATCAAGACATTAAATTGTATCTGTACTAAGGTGTTGAAAACAGAATGATATGTAAGGTAAGCAGCAAACCAGTAGCTAAAAACAGAGTTAATCATAGAAAAGAAGTAGTGACAATGGTTTATTTAACCATTGGCTTCGATGAGCTGTTCTGTCACGTCATCATTAAATGCTGTGGTTATGAGAGAGGAGACAGTGAGTGGAACAACTAAATTGCGATGATGACCAAAATTAAACAAACTGTTAAAGTGAATTTGCTGACATGTCTGAGAGAGTGTAGTAATGGTATCCCGAGAATACAAAGACTTACAAAGGTAAGAATTACAAATCAGATAACCAAAAAGCTGTACCTTTGAGCATTGCCGATAAACTGGCGCCCAAGATTGTCGCCCGCGCATCCCCAACACCAAATCCCATCAGAACAGCCTGACCAGCCAGTGCGCCCGTAATGCTACTAGCCACAGCCTAGGAGAAATAGACGGGGTGATGGGAAAGACCTTAGAGACAGAAATTGCAACATTTTTGATGGCAGTAAATCATAGATGTTGGATAAGTTGGATAAGGTTTTATTGCAATAGAAATAGTGTAAGAAAGGAATGATAGCTACCGAGGTCCAGATGAATAACCCAGGTTGACAGATTTATGAACCATCATTTGTAGGAATCCTTAAACCGGTGCCAATTAGTCTGTCACCGCAGAAGGGTGAACTGTAGGCATAAACCAAAATACGACAATATGATGCCTGCGGACAATCGACTCTGCTCTCAGACTCTACTTACCGGATGATTGTGAACAGAGCCGCGTGAAATACACACAAGTGGGAGAATGCGGTTGCAAGGTAGATTAGAGGGGATCCTCGATGATGCATAAACGAACAGATGCATTTACATTTATGACAAAGGCGCTTGCAATATTTTACTCAAAAAGTAGATCTCGTTCGTCGTTGACAGCACGAAGGAGGCGTGGTCAACTAAGGAAAGCAAAATAATACGGATAGAAGCAGGAATGTACGAGCTTCCCTAGATCCGAAGCCCATTCAAAAGGCAAGTGGGTGATTTGAAAAACATGTTTGTGCAAGAAAAAGCGAGCGATGGTGGACCAGAACTTGCAGCCCATAGATGCCAAGTACGATTGGAAGGAGTGAATGGGTGCAATAAGAAAAGTTTCAGACGTGATATCGAAAAATAACTGTAACTCACCTGAACTGTGTCCCAAACTTGATACTCTAGATAATCTTCACTCACTGATTGCGGGTAGCCTTTAGGAAGAAAGATGGACTTCAAACATAAGTTTCAAAACTAGGGAATAACCTTTAGGTTCACGTGCTGAATCAGTTTCGGAAGTCCCCAAAGGAGTCTACGTTTTGCGGAACGTTGAGGTATAACAAAAGGCTGAGCTGATCCGCGTCCATAAGTCTCATATGCAATTTTGACAGCACCCATAACCTGAAAGTAGATATGGAGTAAAAAACAAGAAAGAGGAACATCCAGATTAACCAAAGTTAGTGATGATTGACCGCATGGCTGGACGAAAACAGTTAAAACAAAAGAACATGACGATATACAAGTGTTGTTGAGGTCAGTTTACCGGCTAGACATGGTCAACAGTACATGAGTAACACTTAAAGTCGCTCCGCTGCAACATAATCATGAAATAACAGAAGAGGGTTGAAGGAGGCAATAATGAAGGGACTATGCTAGACGAACATCCAGGACCAAGGATCCCATAACTTAAAAGCATACCATAGTTACCGATGACGAGCTAGCCTGGCAACGTAACTCAGCGTCGGTATAGTGGCTAACTCACTGCCAAACCCTTGATAGTAGGGCCTACAGCGGCCATAGCAACGGAGCTACAGAATCATTGAGACCAACATCAACTAGGGGCCAAATCATACGATAGGGGCTAGATAGCAAAACATTGATCGCGTTACACGAGCGTTGAAAGTCATTACGTGTGAGTACCTGGGCGTGCATTCGGATGTCGAAAGATTACCGAGTGAAACACCGCCTACGGAAACGTCCTTGTCGCATAGATCGTGAAAATGTAGAAAAATGTACACTCAGTGCTCTGTTTTCCAGCTTCAGCCTTTTCGGCTTACTATAGAAACGACTCGTAAATTAGTGTAGCACAAGCCACTAATGGCTCTTAGGTGAACATAATTATCTTGTGAGTGCTCGTGTACACAATGAAACGCAAAGCAAGAATCGGAATCCACGCACACTCAAACCTAAAGCGAAAGAACAACTACAGTACATAATCCAGTGAACTGATGCTTCGCTGCTGTACAGCCACAATGACCTGAGTAAGGAAGAATAAGAGGGAGAGCAAAGGGTATCAAACGTAGAACCTAAATGACCTAAGTAAATTTGCAGACACAAGGCACTTTTACAACAACATACATACAACTAACTAATGAGCAAAAATGAGGCGGTATCGGAAAGACAGCTTCCTTGAGGCTTTCACCGCCCATCACCAAACACTCAGCACAGTCAGACTGAGAGGATAAAAATGGCGCCCGTGGTGCAGGATGGGTGACAATTGATGTGTCGTCGCGAAACTGAATCATGAACCTCACTCCACTGCCCAAAACCCATGACAGTACATGGGAACGCGAAAACGAACTGAGACAGGACAGAATCGGATGCATGGGGAATACTGTGGTACAAATAGGAACGAAGCAAAGCTACTAAACACACTGGAGCCAAGCAACAATGTAGGAGAAGTTAATAGAGACAAATCAAAGAAACCCCAACCGGGTTCACGTCTTACGTTAAAGTTAAATGATGATCGTACGTAGAGCGCTGCAGTGTATCTCTAAGTTCTATTTCCAAAAGGCGACGAACGATCACAGGCATCTTTGCCTTGTTTCCCTAACACCTTACCCGTGATAATGAACGTATGATTTTCTGCTCGGGTCTAGCTGCATTCTGGTCACGGGTTTCCGTGGGCATTGCTATTTTATGAGGCTTCATATTTTGGGCATAACATCATGTGGTGTCCGGAGCTTCCTCCGCATTAATACTCCCGCGGGCGACCCTTGGTTTGGTGTTTGTGGGTTGCGGTGGTCTTGTACACCTACAAGATGTGTCCAGGATCTCCTGGGTAGTACCTTCCTTTTCATCTTTACCAATGCCTGCTTGAAAGTGCCAACAAATCGCTTCGCTTGGCTATTTGTTTGGGCATGAAACGGTAGGGAATGCAAATATGTGATGCCATTTTGTGCACAGTACTCGGCGAAGTCGAACCAAGTGAACTGACCACCGGTGTCCGGAGCCAACGTCTCGGAAACGCCACGGTGCCTGAACAGCCGCCTCAGTAGGTTGATGGTGGCACCACTGGTAGTTCACTCCATACGAATAACCTCAGACCATTTTCTGAATGGGTCGACGACTATAAGTTACTGCAAAGAAATCCATGGATGCGTTCCCATGGCCTTCTTGCTAGTAGCCAGGAAGACAACTGTGCTCTCATGGGAATTTTGTTGACGATAGTGCACGTGCGACATGACTTGCCGGAATGTTCTGTTTCCGAGTCAATACCTGGCTAGTACATAAAACTCCGCGCGATCATTTTCATCCTGTTGATACCAGTGTGTCCTCTGTGAAATTGACGTAAGACTCAGCGGCGTAGCACAGTTGGAACAACAATGCGTTCTGAAAAGAGTAGGCAACTATCCATAACAGACAACGCATCCTTCCTTCGGTCCAATTGTAGAGGGGCCGCTTCCAAGAATGGCTCTGGGGAGCTCTTCGGAGCTAGCTGAGAGCGGATCGCGAAAGATGGCTAGCGACGAGCCTGGGCCCGGAATTTCGGAGCGGGAACATGTGGACAGCGCAATAAATCAGACAAATACGCCGCTAGCGCAGCCCACAGCACCGAGGCCGAGCCGATTGACACAGCCCAGAACAAGCAAGTCGAGAGCTCTCGAACGACTCCTGACCGATCCAAATTGGGTGCAGAGAAGCGGAGATCGAGGCGAAAACAGGAAGGCGGATCTTCCAAGTCAGAGCTCCCGAGGCGAAAGGACTGGCTCGTCTCTAACATCCGCACCTGTGTTGCGTTGTGGGACGGAAACCTAGTCGATATTCGATGGCGCGCGCGAGACCCTCATGTGCCCATTTTCGGTGTGCAATAAACGTCTACCCCCCTGTCGTGTCGTTCTCGCTACACAATGTGTGCAGCTTGCCAGGCAAATTATCCTTTAGCGACTGAGTGGTGCGAAATCCCATGGCCTGTAGTAGAACGGGATCCTTTGTTGTCGCACCGCATACTATTTCGAAAGTTACTCGTAGATTTGGAAACTTTCTGCTACCACTCACTTCAGTCTCCATCGAGATCAGGACAGTGACGGTGTCTTCCATCTGGCGTAGTCCGTAGGTCAACAAACGAGAGAGTGCATCTGCTTGACCAATATTTTTCGTAGAGACATGCTTCACTTCAAAGTTATAGCTCAACGCTGCAGCCTGTTCGCCATGTATACCGGGACACCTGACTTTGAGCCAGGATCGCCAGCAAGGGTTTGTGGTCGGCAAGCAGAGTAAATCTCCCGTACATCATGTGGAAGTTCTTCAAGGCATAGACGATCGCCAAAGCTTCCTTCTCAACCTGGCCATAAGTCTTCTCTGCGGGCGATAGCGACCTGGTCGCGTGAGCTATGGCTCTTTCTAAACCATCGAGAAACCGGTGAGCTATGACCGCTCCGAAACCATAGTGCGAAGCATCCGCGGCTACCACAATATTCAGTATGGGATGGTAGTGGGTCAGTAAAAGGTTGGAGCACAGTAGTTTCTTGAATTCGGCAAATGATTTTCGACATTTTTCTGACCAATGCCAAGGTTCGTTCTTGGTCAACAGCTCGTTTAACGGGTCCAGGTGGCGGTGCATCCGTGGCAAAAATGGGCTACAGTGGTTCATGAGCTCAAGAAAAGATCTCAGCGTGGAAACATCTGTGAGTGGCGACCTCCACCTGATAGCCTTGATGTTTGCCGGGTCTGGATGCCTTCCGATTTTGTCATTTATGAAGTCGATGAATGATATGGAGTCTATAAAAAGGGTGCACTTCTCTGGATGCAATCTGAAGCCAAATTCCTCAAGTCGACGAAGTACTCTATCCAGCTTATAAGAAAGGTCGCTGGTGTTGGTTCCGAAAACTATTATGTCGTCTAAGTACGCGGCAGCTCCATTAACTTTGAGCAGCATCGTGTCCATGATTTGTTGGAATATTGCTGGCGCCGACTTGACCCCAAACGGTAGTCGGTGATAATGATATAACCCCCGGTATGTGTTTATGGTGAGCTGTTCTCTGGAGTCCTTATGCAGCACAACTTGCAGACAACTGTCCGACAGATCCAACTTGGCAAAACACTTGCCTCCATTGAGCTTTGCAAATAGGTCTTTCGGAACTGGAAGCGGATATTGATAATTGTCCAATGCTCCTTCAAACTCGTCGAAAAGTCAGCACATATTCAAAGTTGACCGCTGGGCTTTTTAACAATTATGATAGGAAATGCTCAAGCTGAATAGTTTACTGCATGAACCACTTCTCTCTCTCTAAGCGATCCAGTTGTTGGTCAACCACAGGGATAGCTGCATAAGGCATGGGCGCTTCGCGCAAAATACTGTAACTGCATCAAACCTTATGAACAGTGAATTCCTCCATTTCTGCATGCACTATGCTTCCTCATCGCAGCTGGGCTACACCGGTTTCAACGCTTACCATTCACTATGCACCTAATTACGTCGATTTCGTTTACTTTGAATTGCTCAGTACTTTTTTTCCGCCGCACATGCTATTACCATCTTGTTCGTATGCGTAATCGCGACATACTTCTGGTCCAGCGCAGTGTTATGCTTGAGGTGCTCTCAATGGCCGGGAAGGCTACATAACGACTAGGACGCTCCAACTCAGTGTTTTGTGCGTCGTGACGGATGAATGGAACAAATCAATTTATGCCTAGTTGCGTAGACCCAAAAAGACGCCAGTGGTGAGCCAGACGGAACACAGGTATTGTCCGACATTGTGAGTAAGTCGTTATTTATTGCACGCTTTACTATTCGGCGCACAGCTGCACATAGGATGAAAACTTTGACTGTTATCCTTACCTCTAAACCGAAGTCATACGTGTTCGCATTATTACGGTCCACGAGGACATGCCGCAGTTGTTAATGGCTCAGACGGCCCACAGCCTCCATAACCAGACACAAGAATGCAGGTTACCATGCGCTCTAGGAGTTTCCATCCCTAGGTGCCAGTATCCACACAATGACCGGAGCTCAAAAGCATGGGAACACGTTCGTTCGTGTAGTGTTTGCAGTTTCACTCACTGGAGCTTCACAATCCATGCAGAGTGTAACTCGTACTGCGATCTCGAATTGTCTTCAAACGTCTAGGTGTGAGTGTTGCTCATTGTGAATGTCAGCAACACATAGGCCCTCCAGTTATT